ATCTTGTCTAACGTGATAAGATGTTATTATGGTGGGAGTAGGGTTGTTGCTTCTAACCTTAGTTTGGGAGGCGGGTGCTTTTGAATTTCTCCAGGCTACAAAATGAATATGTGAAAAGAAAGTAGTCAAATACACAATTTAAAACAATAAATAAAAGTAAATAAATAAATTAAAATCAATTTTTTGTTTTGTTTTAGGCAGCGGTCTCAAACTCAAATCATCTGGGGGTCGCACGAGGTAGAGTCTGAGTGAGACAGGGCCGCATCAAGTATTCCACACAAAACGTGATTACAAATTCATTAAAGTACAACTGTTGCAATCTTCTCAACCTTTATTAATAGCAAATAAAAACATTAAGGGTTCTCAAGATTTAGACTTGGAAACTCCTATTAAAAAATATGGAATGTCACACATTTTTTGACTGCACAGCGATCCAGACATGTTTCGTATTTGCATTGTTTGAGTAATCCCTTGATTTCATAATTTGATTTGCTGAAATATTTAAAGAATTCTTGAGCTATTAGCGAAATTGTCATCGTTTGTCATCAATATTATTATTGAACAATCAACAATCCTTTAAAAAATTCTTTCACTTAAAATTTGTGTGTTACTAATATTCATGGTGAAGTCCAAATCAAAGCACCAATACCATGACCCGTAACTTAAAAACAGAGTTGACCGAGTCCAATATCAAGGGGAATGGGGTTCACTTCAACCACTTAGGGGCCTAGACGTAGCTTACGATGGGGTGGGCACCGGAGGACTGGTGCCCCTGGGTGCCAGACTACTGGAGGGTGCAAATTGAGCTTTGTTGATATTTTAAAATGAAAATAATGGGTTTCAGAGTTGAAAGGGGTGAGGGCCTAAAAATTTAATCATGGGCCCCGGGCACCTCAGTTCAGTAGGGGATAAACGCCACTGCTCTTTTCCATTATTCTGCCTCGGTAGGACTATATTTTATTATATACTATACCATCACTACAATAATCTCTCATTATTTTTCCTATTCCTATCATATCAACTTGGTAATAGTAGGGTACATGGGCGCCCGCAGGTAGTGGCAAGGTGGGGCACGTGCCCCCCCCCCTGGATTGATTGGATAAAAATTTTTTAGACAAAAATAGACAAAAAATTTATTAAAGTAAAGAGAAAATAAAGAGAAAGTAACTAAGCTGATGTCCTGTCCGTTCGTTCACCATACAAATACGCTACAGTCCATTCAAAATACATTAAAACATTACTAAAAAAATTTTTGCCCCCCCCCCCTGGAAAGTTAATTGATTTTTTTGCCCCCCCCCTAGAAAGTTTTCTGCGGGCGCCCATGGTAGGGTATGGTCATGGGCGCCCACAGGTAGTGGCAAGGTGGTGCACTTGCCTCCCCCTGGATTGATTGGATAACAAATTTTTAGACAAAAATAGACAAAAAATTTATTAAAGTAAAGAGAAAATAAAGAGAAAGTAACTAAGCTGATGTCCTGTCCGTTCGTTCACCATACAAATACGCTACAGTAAATTAAAACTAAATTAAAACATTACTAAAAAATTTTTTGCCCGCCCCCTGGAAAGTTAATCGATTTTTTTGCCCCCCCCCCCCTAGAAAGTTTTCTGCGGGCGCCCATGGGTATGGTTGATATGATGAAATTTTTTTGTCGAGATTTTATATTTTAAGCACATCTTGTTTCATTTGCCATATTATGAAAAAGAGAAAGTAACTAAGCTGATGTCCTGGCCGTTCGTTCACCATACAAATACGCTACAGTAAATTAAAACTAAATTAAAACATTACTAAAAAATTTTTTGCCCGCCCCCTGGAAAGTTAATCGATTTTTTTGCCCCCCCCCCCTAGAAAGTTTTCTGCGGGCGCCCATGGGTATGGTTGATATGATGAAATTTTTTTGTCGAGATTTTATATTTTAAGCACATCTTGTTTCATTTGCCATATTATGACAATAATGGGAGGGACACCGTGTGAGAGAGAGAGAGAGAGAGAGAGAAAAGGGGGGTGGGGAGAGTTTATAATCTATTTATGTTTATGTTAAGAGTTTAAACACTGATTCGCGATAATCATTACAATCTCATTTGTCTGAGATAATTAAAAGAAAATTGCTATTTACTAATATTTTTAACGCTCTAACTTAATTGTGTTTCTTTTCCTCTCTCTCCCCAACCTGCCAACATTCTCTCCCTCCTCCAATGGATGGTGTAGTCATAAGGTCCATAGGTGACGGAAGGGTTGTATTTTAAGTCTTGATGGTTGAAGTTGAGTGGTCGATGCATTACATTTGCGCAACGGCAACGGATCAAATAATCAACACTAAGTAATCAATGCACCCCCATCTGCCCCCCCCCCCCCCCCCCATAAAATAAAAATTAATCAAATAATACTTTAAAAAAAGAATGTTTAAATTAAAGAAATTAAGAAATCTATTAAAACACCATATTAGACTTCCATTTAATTTACTTGAAATTATTTCAGGCACTTCATTTCTTTTCTAGTATCCAATCCACAATTAATCGGAATGTTAACATGGCGAAACTATAATTTGCTACATGAAGTTATTACAATCTAGTATCCCTTTCGCACTTTCCCTCTACTGACTCCCTAATGTGGATAACATTACTTTCGAGTATCGTTATCGGATGCTTTTCAAAACTTGTTAAAAAGGGTTGAATTTTATTTTTAGTTATTAATATTTATTTTTAATCACATCTTCATAATGCTTTTCGAGGTAAATAAAACTTAGTGGTTATGTTAAAAAATCATTTAAGTTAAAAAGTTACACTTAATTAATATAATAATAATAATAGTAATAGCCTAATACTACTAATAGCCTTGTCTTAGTCTTACTAGTCTTAGTCTTAATTTGACGTAAATTATTATTTAAATTATTGTAATATAATATAGACTAAGATAGAATACTAGAATAAATGATCCTCGATGTTATCTGGATAAAAATAGAAGATCCTATGCGATAATTTCTAACTGCTATTGCAAAAACTCATCACAATTCATAACTTTAAAAATGTAATAATATTTATGTTTGTAACATTATTATTATTACGTTTTGAGAAGAATTTATCTGCTATAATATTATCGTTATAGGCCTACCCTACTCCTTTTCACCCTCCTAGTCTACTTTTCCCCCCCTCTAAAATGACCTTAAATTGCACAGTCTAAATTATTACTAATTATATCAATTTTGTCACTAAAGAAGTTAATTGAGGGACAATTACTACGTTAGAGAAATACTTTAGTTTACCCCTTTTCGTGCCCTTGAATTACAACTTTTTTTCTAAAAAAATTGTTTAAAAAACTTGCCTAAAATTTATGCCAAAAACTCTATATATGATATAAAAATATGGAATAGGAATTCGATATATATTGATATCTTCAGAAAAAATTTAAACACATTTTTTGCCTTTTTAAAAAAATTATATATTATCAGAAAATCGTAAATCAAAGAATTCTTTTATCGAAAGAAGAACCGTGCAACCTTTTTTTCCACATCTATAACAGATTTGAGTCTTGTTGTTTTTTTTTAAATTTAAATGTTTAATCTCATAAAATACAAATCTCTTTACTTTTTGCAAAGTAAAATCAAAAATGTATTTTAATTTTTGAAAGTAAATATTAACCCATCCTTATTTTTTAAAATTAATTTTTCAAGAGTGCAAAATGATTGGGTTTTGATATTCATGGGTATAATTATATAAATGTACCCAAGGTTTGTTAACGCCGTTGATCGTCTTAATTGGTAAACATAAGTATATTTGTAAAAAGAGAGAGTAACATCTTTTAACATATGCAATACCATAGGAGTTAACTACGTTGTCATCCACGTGAAAATGTATATATCCTATACTCCGACATGTATTTGTCCAAGAAATTTAATTATTTATCAAAATCATTCCTTTATTTTGAGACGTATTTCTGCTGCCTTGGGCAAAATGAACATACCCATATTTGTGAAAAGAGAATGTAACATCACTTTTTCACAAATGTAATACCTTAGGAGTTAACTATATTGTCATCCACGTAAAATTGTACACATCTTATTTCCCACCTCCGACATACCCAAGAAAATTAATTATTTATCAAACCATTCCTTTTTTTTGAGACATATCTTGTGCTGCCTGAGGCAAAGTAACCAACCCCTCCCCCACCCAGATATAAATAAATTTAGAAAAATCTTCTACCATATTGTTTGATTTGATTTGATATTTATATCGCGCTGGTATCCATGCCACTTTAGCATGGTCATTGTGCTCTGGTCCTCCGAAATCTATTGAAACAAAAAACTTTTTAATTGTTTCTTAAATAATTTTTTATCATTTATTTTACAATTCCCCTCAAAGATTGAGGCAAACTGTTCCATAATTTTGGCGCTATGGCTTCAAAAGAGCGCACTCCGTAAGACTTTTTTCTGTGTTCTTCATCCACTCTAGGAACACTCAGTAAGTACTGTGTTGAAGACCGCAGGCTCTTCAGAAGTACATGTTTATAAATAAGTTCCTTGAGATATTCCGGTGCTGAGCCATCTATGCAGCTGTATGCCAGGGACACAATTTTGTAGTTAATGTAGTCCCTTCCATACCCATACTAAAATAATTTGCATTTCATATGGTTCGTTCTTTTTTGTTTTAGTTATAAGTTGATTAGTCAATGCTATTTGGCTATGGAGTTGCGCTGCACTGTTTGACTTAAACTGCATTTTCTAATTAATTATATTTAAAGGTTAGTTTTTATTGCGTTATAATTTTAATAAATGTATATTTTTGGAATAAAAAAAGGCAAAACTTTTTAATGTTAATATACACAGCAGAAATGTATGTGTTTTATTAACAATTTAAAAGACAATCAATTGTATTTATTAATTTTACTTTTAAGAAGGGAAATTACATTATCAGTTTTGTCACTCGCGGTTATTAAATTTAAAGAAACGTAAGAGTTTGGGAGAAATAAGCTATTCGCGCTATGACATCATTTGTGTGATTATTTAGAACAAATTAATTTAAAATTTTATTTAGCAATGTTAACAACACATTAAAAGATGCACTAAAAATGACTGATGTTTAAGTTTTCCCAATAAATGTGATTACGGTGAAATTCTTTGATCATGCTTTTTAAACTTTTTATATTTTTTCATAACTTTTAAACACATATAAAATGCTTAAAATAGTTCCTTAGTTGATACTTGACATATGTTTGTAATTTATAATAATAATACTTAAATGCTTACTAAAATAAAAGGGGATTTAAAATATTTTTTGCGCGTTTAAATTTATTCCATTTCCGTAAAATAATAGAAAATAACTATGATTGTTTTTAGGAATCCGAACATACTTAAATAATATCTCCCATTAAGCGTTATGTCACCCTACCTCATTGTATAGCCTAATAAATATATAATGGCTTAATGGAGAAGTAAAATGATAAAATTAAACTCAATCAGAAGTTAAAGTTAACGCCTGTCTTTCTCTTAGTCTGGTTCTAAACTGAAAACTATCTTTTTAATATTTTTTTTCTTTAAAAAAGGCTTAACTTAGTACTTATAAATATAGTACTTGACTTAGTTAACAAAACTAATACTATGACTATAGTCATATTAGCCAATACATGAGTACTCTTGACCAGCGTTCCCCAAACGGTGGTCCATGGAATGGCACCGGTCCGCAAGCCTTACGTTACCGGTCCAGAGAGCATGAATATTGATGTTTAAATAGAAAGAAAATGTAATTAATAAATCTGGCACCGGTCCCTGGTGCAGTTTCTAAACTTGTCCACCGGACCGTGAAACTTAAAAGTTTGGGAAACGCTGCTCTAGACTATAGACTATGAGTATGATACTATGAGTATGAGGCTAAAATAAAAATTAAGGCTGGTCCTTACTATCACAATTACTATTACTAAGTTACTTTGCCTTGGCCCCTTAGCCTTAGGTCTAATCTTACACTTACAGCGATGTTAATATTACAATACTGAATACTGTCATGTTGTGATAATAGGCTAAATGAAAACAGAGTATAGAGGCCTACTACAGAAAATGTTTTCTATAATTTTCCTTGGACCACATTCAACATCACCCATTAAAGCCTATTAGTATTATATTTTTTTCACAATTTTTTTACGCTTTGAATGTTCTCACAATTAAACAGATCCAAATTAAATAACTTTAAAACTTTTCTGAGCTGACAAAACTGCAGACTATAGCCATAGGTAATAATACTAATATAATAGCAATTTGACATAAGTTGTCATAAGGCATGATAAGGTGTCATCCATAGAGATCAGATGGGTGTTAAATGTTTCAATCAATCAGTGTGTGATAAAAGTGTCTAATGGTAAATTCATACCAAATGGGGCAGATGTCATAATGTGGGATGTGTTGGGGATGCTGACAAATGACTTCAACTTTATAGAAATGTGTGTATTTAAGCCACTTTCCTATGAGGATTTTTATGTACCAACAGCTTAGTCAAAGAGGAGCATTTAAAATCAGCACACACATTCATGTAGATATGATGTTGTACAATACTCTTAATCTAATACATTAATTTTCGACATACTACTATATAAACATTTTATTAATTTGTTTCTGGAAACCTTAAACAATACTTAATATCCGCATAAAAATAATCTATTTTGCAGCCTATTCCTTATACCTTTTATGAGCCTGGAACAACATACTTTTGGGTCCACTTTGGACTTATTATCCTAGGATTCATTGTTGCCTTGGCTACATTAATTGGACAGTGGATAAATCCAGCCCCTTATGGAAAACATGAGAGAAATGTGAGTTAATGTGTAAAGTAAATGTAGGCAATAACTCGAGGTCAAAAATCACTGAAGAGTTATATAAAAGTCTGCTTGAATTCTTTATAATTGATGTTTAATTTAATCTAATCTGTTTTTTAAAATTAAAAATAGTTTAATTTTGTTTAAACAATCAAGATACTTGATGTTAATGTTTTGAATCTCTCATTCAGGATGTTAATTGGGGTCCAATGATTCCACAGCGGCTTGGACACATATTATCAGATGCTGTGCCCGGTGTTTTGATGTTTTCTTTGGTAATGCATTTTATTGTTCTTATAGCTATTTGATTAATGAACTTATGAATCAAATTAATTGTCAGAACACAATGGATGTCATATTTTTATTTTAATTGTCTCTTCTTTTTTCAGGTATTTTTTTTATACAGCCCAAATGAGAGTGAAAAAGGGCCAATCAACTATGTTTTTTTTGGCTTGTTTCTTATTCATACTATACACAGGTAAGCCATGGATTGGTACAAACATATTTGACAACCAAGCTAAATGTTTTTATTATCAATGTTCATGTTCATGGGAAATGTATCATTTCATTTGTTTGTGGACAATGGAGTAAAGTTGTATCTTAAAATTTAATATTATCTAAATGTATTATCTAAAATATCTTTAATTTTTTATTGAAGTTTGATACCGATTTAAATACGATCACATCATAGTTAGACAGCTGTAACACATAAGGCAATAAGATATCCACAATTAATTCCCCAAGTTCATTGTTTGTCTCAGGGGTATTATACACCCACTGACCATGAGATACAAGAATCCTAAAGTTGCTTTAGGGTAAGTGCAATAGGATATTTTATTCTTGATGTTGGTTATGAGCTAATTTCATTTTTCAAAGATTTAGCTTAGTTTAAGATCTATTTATATTTGTTCATGAATTCAAAACAGGGACAAATAATAATTACATAATATTTTTGGTAACATAGTCCAGACAAAAATCTAATTTTTAGAATATCCAGAATGCTGCTCTTTCCCAAGATTCCTAAACAAAGGAATGAATAAACACACACTAAATATTTTTATGGTTAAAATGTTAAAACTTTAAAACAGAATTATTTTTTTTTATGATAAGTATCAGATATGAACTTAGAAGTATAATAGTTTTTCAAAATATTTAGTTATAAAATCATATTAAGATGTCCCGAAACAAATCTGAAGTTATTTTAGACTGCTTTGATCTGTACTTTTTTCTACCATAGAATAACACTTGGTGGTGGCATTCCAAATGTTTTATATCACTGGCTGAATGCAAACCACATTGGTGTGGCCGGGTACCACAGCACGTATTATTAGTAAGTCAAAGAGTCTATGCAACCATTTGTTTCCTTTCAGTTTGTTAACGTACATATCACATTAATACTACTTTTTATTTAAATGATGCAATGTTAAAGCAAGTTTAATTTCTTAAAGCTTTAAATTATGCATATAAGAACATCTATGTGAGGGTAGTGAAAATTATGTGAACAAAATAAATTTGTCTTGTTTGTTTGATTGGCTGTTTAACTTATTTCTTAGTTTACTTCAAATGAGGCTAAATGAGTTTTATTATTGTTTTTTTTTTCATATCTTTTTAAAGTAAACAAGGTTTTTAATAGATAATTAAAAACATGATTAGTGCAAATAAAAAGCATATATTTAAATTTGTTAACAAGAGTGATTAACTTCTGCATTTCAGTGATCCCAGGTTTATTTTAGGTCTACTGGTCTTTGTGCTTGGTTTCATTATCAACAGACAGGCAGATTGGAAGCTGCGTTCCCTGAGACACATTAAAGGTCACAGCACCACACATTTTATTCAGGGTGATGGTAGGCGGGCTAGAATTGTGCCCTCTTAATGCAAATTAAATGCATTTCATTTATTTAACCTGTAAGAACTTTCCTTTTGTACAAGAATTTTTTTGATTGCATTGACTACCTGTCCTTCCTGGTGACATGTTTTTTTTAGTAAATTAATGGCCTAACAGAAATTCATTTCAGTGCTTGCAAGTGTTGATAATAGATACTTCAAATCATTGCTTACACCATTTCCTACATTATTTCTTACACCATTTCTTACATGATTTCTTACATCATTTCTTACATTATTTCTTACACCATTGCTTACATCATTTCTTACACCATTTCTTAAATTATTTCTTACATCATTTCTTACATTATTCCTTACATCATTGCTTACATTATTTCATACTTTGTTGCTTACACAATCTCTTACATTTTTTCTTACATCATTGCTTACTTCATGACATACATCATTGCTTACATCATTTCATATATCATTGCTTACACCATTTCTTACATTTTTTCTTACATCATTGCTTACATCATTTCATACATCATTGCTTACATCATTTCATACATCATTGCTTACACCATTTCATACATTATTGCTTACACCATTTCTTACATTATTTCTTACATCATTTCTTACTCCATTTCTTACATCATTTCTTACACCATTTCTTACATCATTTCTTACACCATTTCTTACACCATTTCTTACACCATTTCTTACATTATTTCTTACATCATTGCTTACATTATTCCTTAAACTATTTCTTACATCATTGCTTACATCATTTCTTACACCATTTATTACATTGTTTGTTACACCAATTCTCCAATTTAAAAAAAATAATAATTTGCGTGAAAACCCCTAAATTATTCTCCAAAAATTATATTTTCTTGATTTTTTTACTTAAAAGTAGTCCAAGAATAGATACCTACAGTAACTTTTCTTGATGAACTCTCTAGGCAGCAAGGGCTACTACATACCCTATGGGGGACTGTATGAATTCATCTCATGCCCAAACTACTTTGGAGAACTTATTCAGTGGACAGGATGGTAAGTATCAAGATTTGGTTTTGTGGGATGTACGATATCTGTCTTTAAGTTTCAAATATTTTTGTTTTTAAATGAGAAAAGTTTATCTCATATTAACCGAGTTATTTTCAAATTTCATGGCTGTAGAATATGTTAATCTATCATGGTGTTTGTGTTAATCTGTCATGGTGTTTGTCAAACAAAAGTGTTATTGTAAATATTGGTGTTAACAAGTTTTACTTTTGTGTAAAGAAATTACATTTTGTTGTTTTACCAAGAATAGCTTCACAACATGACACCTGTCTTTGGTCTATATTGAATTATCTAGTTATCGACATGATTGATACTTTCTAAGTTATCAACATGATTGATAATCATCTAACCAATAAACAAAGCTGCTGGGTTTTGTCCATGGCTTGACATGAATAGGTTTTGGGGTGGGTGGGGTCAATATACATTTGTTTTTGTTTTGTTTTTATACTGCTGTTTTTTAAATTAAATAAATGAATGTTATTTTTTAATGTCATGATTATGTTAGTTAATTTTTTTATGTAAGCACGGTGAGCCCAGCCCTAGGCTGGGGTAGAGCGCTGTATAAGACCACTAATTAATAATAAAAATAATAATAATAATGTCTGTTTTATCAGTAAAATCCATTGTGGCATTAGCAGGTTAATCCTAAATAATATTTTAAAGATTAATTAATCAGTGGAAATTTCTGGCCAATGGAAAACCTAACCTACTGTTGGACAGTGACAAACTACTGACTGAATGTTGCGCCTTGTTTTGCACACCACAGTTTTGATTGTGTAGTGACATCTTGTTGTTGTGCAGTTCCTGTGGAGTGCTCCATGTTGGTAGGACTCCATGTTGTTCTCCTACAATAAAACGTTGAACTAACCTTGATGATTGCCATTGCTTGTTTCATTATCTTCCTTGTGAAGTTGGATTAGCAACTTATATATTTTGAAGTGGATTAGCAACTTAATATTTTCAACACCTACTTTATAACTTATATTAGCATTTTTACATTGTTTTTTGCTACATTCCATTATTTGTTTTTACTTTACGATACTAGGACTCTAGCTACTTGGTCATTAGCAGGATTTGTCTGGACCTGCTTTTCTGCTGCCACATTTTTTGCTAGATCTCGCCATAACCATCAATGGTAAGTAATGCAATATTTCCTTTGAAAGTGTGTTTCTGGACCTGCTTTTCTGCTGCCACATTTTTTGCTAGATCTCGCCATAACCATCAATGGTAAAAAATGCAATATTTCCTTTGAAAGTGTGTTTCTGGACCTGCTTTTCTGCTGCCACATTTTTTGCTAGATCTCGCCATAACCATCAATGGTAAAAAATGCAATATTTCCTTTGAAATTGTGTTTCATTGTCATTACAAAGTGTTTCTCCAACATTGCTTGTTGAAGTAAAAATTAAATTTTAGTCTAGGATTTTTTTATATCACCTAAAAGGCAGTGTGACTATCTAATATGTATGCATGTATTTACCAGTCTTCACTGAAAAGATGAAGGCCAAAAAATGGAATACAAGCTAATTTAATCTCACTGTGGTTCATGGAAAGTTTGATCAATGTCTTTTAACACCAACAGCTTTAATTATTAAAAATAATTAAATTTTCCTATGTGCTAACAAGGAGGGTAAGCCACTAGGCAACTATTATTGAGGCCATATTGAATTGACATTCCGCTATAAAAAGACGACAAATCTAAAATATTATCAACAATCATATTGCTTGGACCATTCACCTCCAGATATCCTATATCTACTATATAAAGGGCAGTTTGGCTATGTGTGTATGAACCGGTGTAAATTGAAACAAATAAAAGCTGTAATTGACACAATTATCAAATGTCTTGCCCTGTTAACACCGGGTCAATCAGCTTCTAATATAACAAAAGCAGTTTTTAATAGTAATAATTTAAGATGCTTTCACTTAGTTTCTATCTAGGCCATTGCTAAGAGTTTTATAGTTTGAAGTTTGGAAACTTTTGGTTCGATAGATTTACAAGATTACTTAAAATTAAGAATTTTATAAAAAATTGTAAATTTTATTAAAAAATTGATTGTATTTTGAATAAGATAATAAATAACTTGTTGTATCCATGGGCTGGAATGGGTAAAATAATTTGTGACAGTTTGATATTAGGATGCTGTCACAATCACAATGTCTTGTAAATAATACCAGAGGTGAAGTGGTTTAAACAATAGGGACTATTTTATTATACACGTTCAGTGACATTCACAATAAGAAATAGATCTCACAAAAGTAAATCCGAAAACACTTGGATCAAATATCATATTAATCTCAATCCTTCAATTACTACCTTCTGGATAATCTTCTTTACTTCTTAAACTTAATAATGTATCAACACACTGTAGACTGTTCAATCTTCTTACATAAACTTTGGGAATTAAAACAACCATTTTATTCAACTTCCATCTTGTTTCACTCTCCGCTCTCCTTTGATTGGCCAGTTTTCTCAAGTCCCAATATAAGTCATGTTTCCCATATTACTTATCTCTCGCTCTCATATATTCATACCCAGGTATCTATATTTGTGATAGGTGCCTAAATTTTGTGACAACTTTGTGCTGTTGGGGGAGGGGGAGTCGGGAAAAAAAGAATTGGGCCAAAGTAGTGAAATGTTATTTATGGATGGCCCCTAAGTTTGATACATGCTGCTAATATTAAAATTTAATAAGGGACATGCATACTTTTGAAATAAATCAAAGTTCAACCTGGGAAGTCAATAAATCAATGCTGTTTTAATTTCAGGTACAAAGATCAGTTTCAGGACTATCCCCCAAACAGAAGAGCTCTGATACCGTTCATATTCTAAAATGTATTTATTTCAATAGCATTGCTCAGGGTATTTAACAAAATACATGTTTCATTTTCTGTTCAGGAAGGCTGTTGGAATGGTTTTATTATATTGATTAATGTATGATTTCATGCTTATGTAAGTAAGGGTTGTAACTTCACTAAATATCATGATTCCAAAATGTTTAAATGTTATTGCGCAGCTAAATTGTTAAACTTAATAAGGAAAATATTTTTTAATTCTTTTTCTCTGACATATTTTCCCTTGCTCAACTTTAAAAAAAATTAATTTTAAAACTTATCTGTACATTACTATTATTGTTATTGATTCAGTTTCTGATGTCTTGTGTTGCGCATACTAAAAGTCAATTATAACTTGTATTTCTATGCTAAAATACATCTTATTTAAATTAAATCAATGTAAAGTTTAAAATCATATTGTTATAAACTTTTATAGATATTAAAAATTGCAAAATACCCCAGAGCTGTGTTGTACGTATAACAATACTGTATTCATACATCCGTGCTAACTTTATTTATTAGCCCTACTTAAAATATTGGTAATGTTAAAGCTCCGACATGTCAGCTGTGGGACCATTTTGTCTAGAAGTGAATATACTCATTGATTTATTTCATGCTTTGTGCCTCAAATGTTTGAAAAGATTTACTGTTTTTTGTAAACTCTACTTTTACTATGTTTATTTCTGTGAGACATCGAATTATTAAACATAAAAAATGTATCTTATTTATCCTAACACTTGGTTTATATTGTTTTTATGTTAAACTTTTTTTGTGTGATTGGGTAAAAGGTTTCAATGAATATTTTTTAAATTTACAATTATAAGGTATGTCTTGATGCCTATTTTGAGACACATGTGTTCATTGTGATTTCAACCAACTTCATGTGAGAAGACTTTTCAGACCTGTCAGTGATAACATTGGAATCAAATGAAAGTCAGTCCGTTCCAAACATTTTCATCTTTCGATCAAGTATGTACAAATATATCCGAAAAATTTTTTTAACAAATAATTTCTATCAAAATTTTCTGTGAAAATCACTAATTTATTGCAACCGTTTTAATAAAAGGGTTATAACTCATACTCGTATAATCTGAAAGTAATTTAATGAGGTTGTCCCCCTCAAAGTTATGCAACCAAGTTGAAATGATTTAACTTTGGCTACTTAAAAGCAGTGGAAAGGGACATACATTGAATCAGTGGCGTAGCGAGGGTGTTTGGCGCCCGGTGACAAGATTCGCGCCCGGGGACAAGATCCATTTTTACCGCCCCTTTTTCTTTTTTTCAACTCTCAAACACATTATTTTCATCAATAAAATAATATCAAAGCACATTTTGGCGCCCTAACTAACTAGCGCCCTAACTAACTAGCGCCCGGGGACATCTGTCCCCCCACCACGCTACGCCTCTGCATTGAATAGAACATCAAATTATCTTATCGTCGGCTATATCATTTTAGATTATTAAAATTATTGAAAGTGTGTTCTATAGTTAAATATTTCGTTTAAAACTACCGTTTTTTTTTTTTAAAGTTATGTGCGTAACCGCGACCGTCGTCAACAAAAGAAGGGACTAACGGTGTCAACAGCAACGTCACGAGATAGTGATTGGTTACCGCCGAACAAATTGGTTGGATTGTTGATTCTCTTGGCACCGGTGCTTCGCGGGCGCACTGCGCGCGTTCAAACAAAAAATCCACCACACTGGGAAAAGAGAGGGGAGAGAGTTTGATCAGAATGTACAGCACAATCAAATTACGTTGTATATTTAGCAACGGCCTTTTAAATTTATTGTGAAGGTTTTCCTTTCACTGAGCGTTTCAGTCAAACTAGTCAAAAGGTTTTCTTTTATCGGGGAGCTCCGATCTGCCCCAGCAATGTTGGGATTTTAGTTATAAACACGGCAGGAGACAACACAGTGCGAACTCAAAGGAATAATTTAAAATGCCGAAACTCGGGAGACGGGTGAGTCTTTATCTTGTTGTTGCTTCTGTGCTAAACATTGTTATTATCTATTTTTAATATTTAACTCTTACATTTTAAGAACCGTAACAATTTAATATCGGCTTTTTGTCATTGAGTTAATCACTTATGATACGTAGGAACAGGCCGAAACGCATTTCACGCGATGTCTTTGCTTTGGAGTTGCTGAAGAAGCATAGCCCTGAAAAATGTCTGCTTCTTTATGCATTTTTTCCTCGAAAAAGATCTTAATTTAAAAGTATGCTGAAAGTTTATTTCTCTGGAGGTTGGCCGTCTTATGTCGGGAAGGCGTTTGCTTTTTGTATATTAAACATCTGAACACTGTATGTACATCGGACAACTAAATGCACATCTGACCACTAAATGCACATCTGACCACTAAATGCACATCTGACCACTAAATGCACATCGGACCACTGTATGCACATCTGACCACTAAATGCACATCTGACCACTACATGCACATCTGACCACTAAATGCACATCTGACCACTACATGCACATCTGACCACTACATGCACATCTGACCACTAAATGCACATCTGACCACTAAATGCACCTGCTTCATTTCAAGCACTATTCAGAAATATGTCTTAAAAAAAACTGAAACCACTTCGCAAGTTTATTGAACTTCCATCACAAAGAGCTCTTGTCCACAACAAAGGGTCACTTGTGAATGCATTTCATTCTTTTGGTGAACACTTCGGCGCCCTTTCCCGACAAGTAGACATTTAATATATGATGATTTGAGTCCTCCGATGATGGGGTGTTGGCCCCCTTGACACGGCCCTGGTGGTGAAATAACTTTGATCTCTATGGAGTGTTGGCCCCCTTGACACGGCCCTGGTGGTGAAATAACTTTGATCTCTATGGGGTGTTGGCCCCCTTGACACGGCCCTGGTGGTGAAATAACTTTGATCTCTATGGGGTGTTGGCCCCCTTGACACGGCCCTGGTGGTGAAATAACTTTGATCTCTATGGGGTGTTGGCCCCCTTGACACGGCCCTGGTGGTGAAATAACTTTGATCTCTATGGGGTGTTGGCCCCCTTGACACGGCCCTGGTGGTGAAATAACTTTGATCTCTATGGGGTGTTGGCCCCCTTGACACGGCCCTGGTGGTGAAATAACTTTGATCTCTATGGGGTGTTGGTGGTGAAATAACTGTGATCTCTAGTAGGACAACGTATCAAGCAGTAAAGCAGGGCCATTTATTAGACTAAATAAATACTTGAGCAAGATATGTTTAGGTCATTCAGTAGACTAAGTAAACACTTGAACAAGATATGTTTAGGTCATTCAGTAGACTAAGTAAACACTTGAACAAGATATGTTTAGGTCATTTAGTAGACTAAGTAAACACTTGAACAAGATATGTTTAGGTCATTCAGTAGACTAAGTGAACACTTGAACAAGATATGTTTAGGTCATTTAGTAGACTAAGTAAACACTTGAACAAGATATGTTTAGGTCATTTAGGTAGTAAGATGTGTACTGTGTGACGTCATCAGTTGTAAGATGTGTACTGTGTGACGTCATCAGTGGTTAGCTGTATACTGTGTGACGTCATTGGCGGTAATGCTTTGACCAGATATGTTTGGCCCTGGAAACAAAAAAGACAGAGACAGTGATAACGCCCAGAGACAGTGAGAACGTCCAGAGACAGTGAGAACGTCCAGAAACAGTGAGAACGTCCAGAGACAGTGAGAACGTCTCGAAGATTTAAACCCATCCATTTTTTAATCTCAAATTACTTGTAGTTTCTTGGGGGTTTTATTTTTGGTCGGGGCAGCATTCGGGGTGGGCAGGGAGAAGACATTAGCCCCCTTCCTTGGCAGCATTCGGGGTGGGCAGGGAGAAGACATTAGCCCCCTTCCTTGGCAGCATTCGGGGTGGGCAGGGAGAAGACATTAGTCCCCTTCCTTGGCAGCATTCGGGGTGGGCAGGGAGAAGACATTAGCCCCCTTCCTTGAAATTATAGAAATGCAAAGTGCACTTGGCACCGGTACCTTAGAGCATCTAGGATAGCCGATGATCAAACGTAGGAAAACATAAATAACAGAATGAAAAAACTGTTCGGTCATTGAACATCAAACATCTGACCACTAAATGCACATCTGACCACTAAATGCACATCGGACCACTGTATGCACATCTGACCACTAAATGCACATCTGACCATTACATGCACATCTGACCACTAAATGCACATCTGACCACTACATGCACATCTGACCAATCTGACCACTAAATGCACATCTGACCACTACATGCACATCTGACCAATCTGACCACTAAATGCACATCTGACCACTAAATGCACATCTGACCACTAAATGCACATCTGACCACTAAATGCACCTGCTTCATTTCAAGCACTATTCAGAAATATGTCTTTAAAAAAACTGAAACCACTTCGCAAGTTTATTGAACTTCCATCACAAAGAGCTCTTGTCCACAACAAGAGGTCACTTGTGAATGCATTTCATTCTTTTGGTGAACACTTCGGCGCCCTTTCCCGACAAGTAGACATTTAATATATGATGATTTGAGTCCTCCGATGATGGAGGATAATTTACTGTGGAAAGCACCAATCACGATCTGGCGACACTCATTGAAATTAATATGTATTGTGACATCATAAGTAGAAAGCTATGGACCATGTGACGTCACCAGTTGTAAGCTGTGTACTCTGTGACGACATCAGTCGTAAGCTGTGTACCGTGTGACGTCATCAGTGGTAAGCTGTGTACTGTGCGAGTCATCAGTAGTAAGCTAAGTAGTCTGTGACGTCATCAGTGGTAAGCTGTGTACTGTGTGACGTCATTAGTGGTAAGCTATGTAGTGTGTGACGTCATCAGTGGTAAGCAGAGTACTGTGTGCCGTCATCAGTGGTAGCAGAGTACTGTGTGAAGTCATTAGTGGTAAGCATAGTACTGTGTGGCGCCTCCAGAAATGTACAACAACTCAACCAGCCGGCCAAGGTTTGGTTTTGTGGTTGAACATGTGAAAACGTTAGAGCTTGGATGTGCATGGAGCCATGGGCAGGCTGGCAACTTTGTCCGGTGTCCAAGACTCCAATAACTGTTGAATCCACCGGTCCAGTCGCGTCACATTTCAAGAAAAGGGAGCAGAGCCGTTTTTAGGAGTTTGGGGGCCCTAAGCATGGAGGGTAGGTTGGGGGGCCCGGAAGGGTGTGGAGCCCCGATCGCTATTTATACTTTCCCATTCCCACGGCCAAGCCCCCCCCCCCCGATTTCTTGTCTGCCACCCCCAAAGCTCACCCTTGCTGCTTCCCTTTCCCTGCCTCCGAATTATATATCTAGGCATTTTTTTTAAAGCGCTTACCTTACAGCTCTAAGCGCTTACAATTATTATTATTAAACTCGGAATTCAACTCAGAATGATGAATTTCAGGATGAGGATGGTAACGTGAGTGACACAGACGGCTGCAGGACCAGTTAATAAAAAAAAAACCGGGGGATCGAGGGCGCCTCACGGGAGGCCCCCTCACGTTCGGGGCCCTACTCGGATGTGTAGTCAGCGTAAGCCTAAGAACGGGCCTGAGGGAGGGGGTGGAAACGAATCAATATTAAAAATTAAAAAAATAGAAAGAAATCGCACAAAAAGACTTCCCTGCTGATCTTTATTTTTTTAAATCACATTTTTCCTGTTTAATTTAAAATACTTGTTGTACAAAAAAATAAAAATAATAAAATGCAAATTAAAGTCGGAATGGTCGGAATGGTCGGAATGG